GTCCTGTGTACTCTAGCCCCGCCACGCCTATGACCCCCTGACGCGCCACGTCTTAGGCAGGCTGGCATTCCCACTGTCTGAGTCGTTTCTCGCGGGCATGCGCACCACCCACCTGCAACCGCGGCGTGCGCAATACTGCAGCAGGCCCCCCAGCTTTCACGTGTTCCGCTAGCAGCATTCGTACGCTTCTTTCTTCTTTTCCATGCAAGGCGCTTTCGCCATGCAATGTAGCCATACACACACGGTGCTGCGGTCATGCTCGACTTTGTGCATGCGCACCAGGCTGTCACTTGTGCAATATAACTACTTCACGCCAGGCTGGATCCGTGCAGGGCTGCTGCCCATGGCCCTGATGCACCCAGGGATGGACCATGCACGCAGGTTAACAATGGAGGCTCAGGCGCCATTCCCGTTGTTGTTGTGAAGATATCGGCGTGCTTGACTCTTGCTAATCCGCTCCCTGCTCACTGGCCCTAGCTACCCTCCTTGTATTTTCCGCTTGACCTGCTGGATGCACCTTGATCTGTGCAGCGGCCAACTAGATTGGTTTTTTAGCGGCGATGTGCCTTGCTGCAACCCCAAGCCATGCTGCTGCTGTCCAAGGAATTGCCGTGTCTATCTTATCAATTCCTGTTTGCAGGCTGCGTAACCAGACTGGTTCTTTGTAAAGTACCATGTGACTTTCCCAATTGCCTCAGTGATTATGGTGCGCGTCGTGCCCCTGCCCCCCACGTGGGGGGCCCCCACGTGGTTGGGGTTAAGTGCAATTAACCCCAACCAACCCCGTCAACCTGAGCCAGCGGTGTAGCGGCAGTCTCAGCGTTACATCCATGCCTTGAATGCACGCATTGGCCGTGAACACCAGGTGATGTAAATCTACAAGTACAGCTTTTAGCACGCATCAATACAGAGGGCATTGTCAGCAAGGCCTGTTGGTATGTGCACAAAGGGCCTGTTGGTATGTGCACAAAGAGCGCAGTAGCTCCTTGCAAACATTCAGAAACAGGTAGGGACACGTCTCGCCCAGCACAGTGGCAATCAGAGATTGCCAACGACTCAACAAATCAGGACGCAGTCTCAAAGGCGCCTGCGGAGGCACCTGAGCGCGCCACCCTGCCACGCCTCGAGCACCCTGGTCTTGCTTCCGCGCTGGGGCCCGCGGCGCGCAGCCACCTCACCCTCCACCGCCTGCCTCCCCCCGCGCCTGCGCCTGGCAGCGCGCGCGCTGCACCCATCTGCCTGGCTGCTTTGCAGTGCAGCCGCCCTGCTCGCCTCACCGGCTGCCAGTGGCGCCGGGACAAAGGCAAGCGCGGGCGTTGGGTCTGCAGCGGCGGCCTCACAAATGAAGTCTGCCCAGCCGTAGGTGCTAGGGTCTGGGTCAGCAAACAGCAGGTCTGCTACCCTCTCAGGCGTCAGTCGCAGGTCCGCCTCCTCTTCAATGGACAGGTTGTACAGTGCCAGCGGCCCTGTGCCGCTGGCGTCTGCGTCGGGGCCAAAGGGGTGGCGAAGCAGTGCCCACATGTTATCGTCCGACATCTCCATGGCCCCCCCCCTCCGCGACGCTGAGGCCGTTGTTGCTGCCACCCGCGTCTTCGCCACCGCCGTATTCGTGGCCGCCCCAGGCGTCGCCCCGGGCGTTGCCCCGGGACGCTGAGCCTGCGGCTCCACTCTGATGGCGCATGGTGGGAGGCGCGGTGGGGCCGCTGGCGGACTGGGGAAGAGGCGCCACCAGGAGTGCGGACTGGAAGGTGCCATTGACGTCATTGCCACCGGCGACGGCATTGTTGAAGTACAGCGACAAGGCGTCGTCAGAGAGCGCGCCGTGGCCGTCGCTGCTGACTTGCCCAATGGACCACGTGTCCAGCAGAGGCGATGGTGACGGCGACGCCATGGAGTGCGGGACGCAGTCGGTGGCTGGGAAGGACCAGACGTCGACGCTCGACTGGATGGAATTTGGTTATTATAGCCAAGATGAAGATCTAAGACGGACGACACGCGGGCGACGACGTCTGAGGCAAGATCGTACGGTACGCCAAACTCGCGGATCAGCGATATATGTAAAACGAGTAGGGTTGGTGGGTGGGTACCGTTTTGAACCAACTCAAGTTGCTATTCCGGGATGTATCGAATACACATATAAATGGCCCCCCTTTATCTGGGGCGACAATGTCGGGCCGGGCCCACCGGGCACCCGTTGAGTAATCCAGCGTGGGGCCGGGGTGACGCGAGCGCCTTGCCCTGTTTCGAGCAGCCCATTGGTCAGTGCGTGTCGAGTGGCATCCACGGCGCGCTCTGAATTGCAGCATCCAATCCAAACAGCGAACACCTTCTTGCGCACAGCACGCGAGTCTGTTCAAACATCACAGCGCACTTGACAAGTCAATCAATTGAATAAAAACTTTCGTCTCGAGCAGTCGGACCTCAGCCCTTGCGCTTTCGAACGGATCCCGGATCACACTTCGTTGCCAACGCCCGACAGGTGGGGTAGCGGCCGGCGTGCAAGCTGTCTTGGTAGATAGAGTCATACATGCCGTCTCTATGGATTGTTGGGGGTTCGTGCTTGAGGCGTGGCACTGTACGCACGCGGCCCGGAGCTTGCGCCATCGCAGCAGTGGAGCTACCGCACGCCCCGTCAACAGCCTATTGTCCACTAGGGTACCGCTGATCGCGAACAACGCTTCCCGCGTACTGCTCACATAGTCGTTTCACGCTCCAGAATCATGGCTTTTCAGGGCGCACAGGATTTTCTGCGGGACAACCACCTGGGTGAGCGCCGAGGGGAGCGCAGCGCCTGCGCCCTGCGCTCAGCCGCTGCTGCCGCCGCCACGCCTCTGCGGCGCGTGCGTATGCACACACACGCAGCACATGCACCTGCTCGTGCGACCAGCGTCCTCTTGGTGGCGCTCGTCCTGCACCGGCTTCGAACCCTTCCACCTCCCCGCGCCGCGCCGCGCCGCGCACGCGCCGCCGTTGCATGCGCTGCAGCGCCGCTGCTGAGCAGCGACCAGCGCGCGCTGCAGACGCTCAACAGGTGGTCCACCGTGGGCACGGCCCTGCAGGTGCGCGCCTGCCTGCCGGCTCGCTCACCAGGAACAAGAATGGAAGGACGGCTGCAGCGCGAGTGCACCCCCTCATCATGCGCTCTCCCGCTTCTTACCAGCCAGCCAGGCAGCTTTGCTCGGCCCCTTGTCGCGGCCCCGCCTTGTGTTTCTTGCACATTGCCCCACTGTTGGCGCGCACTTCGCCTGCTCCGCGCCGCGCGCCCCCACCTTCGCCCCACCACCGCCTCACAGGTCCTGGGCAGCGCCGGCGTGCTGTCGTGCCCCGTGCTAGATGAGGACGGCGAGTACTATGGCTGCCTCTCGGTGGGCCGCCGGCACGCAAATTTTCTATCATGGGGCCTGGGTCCCGGACAGCGCCGGCAAAGGGGCCCCGGCAGCACCAAAGGGTCCCCGACAGCGCCGGCGCGCAGGAGCGGGCACGGCTGCGTCCAGCGCCGCCGACCAACGCCGCCTGCATCCGGCGGGCTGACTTCGTGCTAGCAGCACGTCATACCTTTTTCGCCTCCAGATGGCATTCATCCCGCCAACCATGTCTATCATGCGTCTTGCAACAGGTGAATGACATCCTCAAGTCTCTCAACGCCCAGCTCGGGGGCAGGGACCCAGAGTGGTGGGGCCCCACAGGAGCAGGGCATTGAGGCAGCTGACGCCACGGGGGGGGGGGGGATTTTTCTAGCAGAGTGGCTAGCTCAGGAGAGCGGGGCGCCATGACCGTGGGGGCCATGGGGGCCACGTGATCGGGAGGG